CTTTGGGTCATGACCGAAAGGGCAAGATCCCAGATACAGGCGGCCAAAATGAGCTTTCTCCGCAGGGCGGCCGGGTGCACCCTTAGAGATAGGGTGAGGAGCTCAGTCACCCGGGAGGAGCTCAGAGTAGAACCGCTGCTCCTCCACATCGAGACGAGCCAGCTGAGGTGGCTCAGGCATCTGTTTCGGATGCCTCCTGGGCGCCTTCCTAGGGAGGTGTTCCGGGCATGTCCCACCGGGAGGAGGCCCCGGGGAAGACCCAGGACACGCTGGAGGGACTATGTCTCTCGACTGGCCTGGGAACGCCTCAGCATTCCCCCCGAGGAGCTGGAGGAAGTGTCTGGAGAGAGGGAAGTCTGGGCATCTTTGCTTAGACTGCTGCCCCCGCGACCCGGTCCCAGATAAGCGGAGGAAAATGGATGGATGGATGGACTGTGCAGTAGCAACCGGAAGTGGAGTGACAGCATCAGACCACCAGTCAAAGCTGTCAAATCAACCAAAATACACCCCTTTTTATATAATCAAATAACTTATTAAAAACAAACTGACCAGAAAAATGACCACATCAGCATGCTATCTACCAAAAACAACAACTGTGACCTCTGGGAATAATTTATCTGATTAGTCCCATCTGTTAACATAGAGGAGACGGGATTTATGACCTATACTGCAAACAGCCACAAGGGGGTGATCACGTCACAGTGGCTTCACTTATGGGAGCTGTCACGGCATCTATATCTTCTACAGTCTATGGTAGTGACCAAATCTTTTGTCACACCCAGGAATCACACACTTCATGATTTTAGCATTCTCACAGTAAATTTGATAAAGTTGTGCATCCCACCAAGCTACAATGATTGGTCTAAAATGTGGTTTGCTTCAGGAACAGTATCTCTCCAATCAGTGCTACTCGTAGACTGGACAGCTGTCCTGCTAACCAGTCCAACACAGAACTAAACAGAAACAAATGTATATAGGCTGTTGTACAAGCAAAACCATGATTACTGTGTTATTAAAGCAGAAGTGTTTTGTAAAGCAAAGAACTGAATTTGAAGCTGGGGGCGTCACCGGGACATCTCATTTTGAAAGTTTACAGTATTTTACAAAACATTACAATATAAGGCTACACATTTTGGGAAAGATGGTAGTTATAAGTTATTTGGTTTAAACAAGCAAATCACTAGTATGGCCCTTTTAGAATTACATCTCCACAAGTCAAAGACATAGCAGACACATCCATCCTACCAGGTTGTGGCTCTTAGCTGAGATGATCTTAGTGACATCTGGGTCCCACAGCACAAGGTCGGCATCGGAGCCCACAGCGATGCGGCCCTTGCGGGGGTACAGGTTGAAGATCTTGGCTGCGTTTGTGCTGGTCACTGCCACAAACTGGTTCTCATCCATTTTGCCAGTGACCTTTTGGGACAGGACAACAAATGACATACTAGCATCTACACATACACAAAGGTTTAGAAGGTTACCTGCTGTTGTAGGAGTTTTGGAATATGTGAAGAGTGGGTCGTATCAAGCTTACCACACATTTGTCCCAGATTAGGGACATCCTCTCCTCAGTGCCATTGGTGCCCTCTGGGATTAAGGTGAAGTTGTCTTTTCCTACTGCACGCTGAGAAGTGAGGAAAGTGCAGTGAGCACTGCCAGTCACCTGCAAGTCCCCACTAGATAAAAAAAAAACAGCAAGCTTAGGATATACGTCATACATCCAACAAGTGTTGTCTTTGACCAGTTACTCATGAGCGGGCCCAGACGGAATCTGTGCCCGCAGAATTCCGACGAGGCCTCCGCAGATTTTCCACAAATGTTGAAAAGAACTTTGTATTTCAGTGGCCACGTGTCCTTAAATTTTACCACAGTGGCATTTCCAATAAATGCTAACACTCTGAGAGTCTTGAAATGCAGATGAAATAGAAAAATTCTCAAATTTAAAAGCTCATATAAAGTGATGTCTTTCACCCTGCTCAATATAGTTTTAGGTTGCATTAATGCATTTTGGTGCTTTTGCTCAAAAATAATCATTGTTAGCTAAATTAGTATTTTCTTTTACATTGCAAGCAAAAAAAACATCACTGTGCAGTATTCCACAGCATTCCATTCGGAGTAACTGCAAAAAGCAGTACAAAAATCCGCAGATTACGTTTGGGCCTGCTCATGACAAAACTGAGATGCAGCACACAGCAGAAACATGTGTCAAATTGTGCTCCAGATATCTTTCGGCCCTAGCACAGAGCACCTACCATGACAACAGAGAGTTGAGATAGTCAGGGGTGGTGGGATCAGGGCTGAGAGGTGGAGACGTGACATAGGCTGCAGCCTTGGCCCAATTCTTGCTCCAGTAATGGGTACCATCTGTGCCCAAGCTGGCTGATATGGGCTCTCCATAAACCACAGCACCTGCAGGAGAGACAGGGTGATTATCAGTGCAAAGTATAAGGGTACAGGGCATCAGCAAATAAAAAGTTCAAAATTGTTCTTTTTACCCCTTTTCCTGGCCAGGGCAATGACATCAGCAGCACTCTTGCTCATCACCTTGGTGATGTAGAGGGGACAGTTGGTCTGATTGGCTATGGTGATAGAGCGATTGACTGCCTCGGCCTCCACCTGCAAACACGCAAAGTCAGGTTCATCACCACCATACCATATCTGACTTACAGAAGATTGTCACAGTTGTTGGAAAACAAGTCCTCCATCCTACCTCCTCTGGGCGGCTAAGCACGTGACCTTCAGGGCCAGTGATCCCCAGCTCTAGAATACGTCTCTGTTCCTAAAACATCAACACAAGGACAATACAATCTCAAAATAGATAAAACTGCTTACATATAACAACAGACCAACTTTAGCATTAGTTCTGTTACCTCTGCAACGATGTCGCCATTCTCAGCATGCACCTGTGCAATGGCTCCAAGATCTCTAATGTCACTGAACACTTCATAGATCTAAAAGAAAAAGGACACACATTGGTCAGCCCACAGGTCAGGCATCTACTGTTATCAAATACATTGAACAGCCTAGAAAACATAAGCTGTGACAGACAACTCAGCAGAGATCCCACCAACATAGACCATAAGCTGAGCATACCTGAGAGTCAGAAAGTTGGAAAACATCCTTATAAGCCAAATAGACCAGGAAAGAGTTGACACCTAAAGATAGAAAATTTATGAGAAAAAACTGCCAAAATTAGAATAAAAAGAGCAAAAGAGAGAAACCCCAGAGCAAAGGAGAGAAGTAAAATAAAAAGAATATAAACTACAAAGCTAAAATATTGAATTATTGTACTTTCACTTGGTGGAAGAGTGGTTGATCTTTCCCCATGTAGCATCTCAAGCTATTTTTATCAAAACATTTCAACGTACCAGTAAAAGTGCCAGGTACAGTGGCTTCACAATGTATTCACAGTGCTTCACTTTTTGCACACTTTATGTTGTAGATTAACTGTAACTGATTAAACTGCCAATTACTGTCCACTCAATAACCCACAATGACAAAATGAGAACCTGCTTTTAGACATTTCTGCAAATTAAAACTCAATAATCTCATTTACAAAAGAATTAACACCCTTTGCACTACATTCAAATTAAATCTATAACACAAAGTGTGCATAACGTGAAGGGGTTAGAGTACTTTTTGTGAATCAGTGATCTTAAACTCTATATGGAGACCTAAAGTGTTCACTACATACCATGATCCTTCACTAGGGTCTCCATCTCTTCCTGAGTGCCTTTGTTCCACTCTGTGATGTCCACGTGCAAAGAATAGTCACAGCAGGACTTGCTATCAGCCCACTCCCTCCACTGTTTGAAGGCAGCAACCAGGCTGGCACCAGGCTCCGGCACCACGTGGTCAACTATAAAACACAAATAAACAAGTTGGGTTTAATGTCCGTAAGCAAACTGCATAATTAAATATGCTTCACGGCATGTGCATCTGCAGGAGTGTAATCCCTGCCACAGGATTACTGTGCATTTAAACTGGTTGAAAACATGTGGAAATCTGTCTGACATAACACATACTGATCGTGGTTGTCCCCCCAGCCAGGGCTGCCCGGGTGCCCTGGTAAAAATCATCTGCCGCAGCCATGCCTCGATCAGGCATCTGGAATCGGGTGTGCACGTCAATACCTCCGGGCATCACCATTCTCCCAAGAGCCTCTATGATCTTAACTCCCCCGGGAACGATGAGGTTGTCTCCAAGCTGCCTGGAGGAGACAAATGAAAGAAAATGAATGAAGGAAGCATGATAAAACACAGACAATCTACACTCCTTCTTGTATGATACTGTTCTGTCATTTGTCATAGTTCCTATAGGACCTAAGGACCCACCTGAGTTGGTATCGCAAAGATTAAAAAACCGGCACTGTTAGTCAAACTGAACTTACTTGATGACCCCATCCTCCATGTAGATATCAGCTAAGAAGGACTGATCATCGTTCACTATCTTTGCTCCTTTGATGAGGAGACGGTCACTCTGAAAGGAGGAGACAGTGTACATATCACCCACAGAGCACACAGAACCACCTGCTGAGCAGAGTCAAAGAGCGAGAACGAATGCTTCCATGACGCACCAGTAAATTTACACGGTTCAAACTAATTGGTTTAGAACAGAGAAGAATCTTGAGCAAACTTTATAAATTTATTTAGCTTATGAGTTCAGAGACTTTTATTAAGGCAGAAAAAATGCAGCTGAAGTTGTGAAGTATCCAATGGTCAACCCAAACAACAGTGACACATGATTCATTTACACTAGACACGATACAAAACAATACGATACGATGTGATACAATACAATAACATTCTATTATCAGATAAAATATGAAATTTGTCTTGTGACATCATTTGAAGTTAGTTTCTAGGGTCGCTGGACACAGATAGCAAGCATTAGGTATACAAGTATTGGCTGTGTTGTATTTCTAGCGGCATTACTCTCTTATAATTTGGTCACATACGCTACGTCAGCGACAAGCACGCTGACGGTGTCGTAACACATTAACTGAAAATGTCTCATTGTGCAAAAATTGCTCTCATCCACCAGAATGTGTACTTCTATGCACTATGTAAAAACAGACCATCGTGATTAATCCTCTAATCTACATTAATACAACTGAAATGATTGGTAAGAACTGAATGTACCTAGTTAAAGGCTTAATGTCAAGTAACAAAGGAAATTATATAAATGGAAGTAGAAACTGTGTGTTACATACTAAGAACTACACTCACCAGTAGATACATCTAGCTAAAATCTAATGCAATCTAACATAGAGCTGCGCCTAACAATTATTTTCATTATCAATTAATTAACACTTGATGTGAATGAGTTCAATCACTGTTATTCAGGGACAATGCCTAGCCTTGGTGTTTTGTTTAAGGTTCTGCAGAGTGAAACTATTTGCTCTGTGTGTGTGTGTCTAAAGAGATGTTGTGTCTGGGATGTCAGAGCTCTACATTTATAACCTTGTCTTGGCCTATGACTGACATCTACCTAGATAACCGTCTGATAGGAAGCCAGTACATTTCACAAGCCAGTCTGATGTTATTAAATGATCAAACTTAAAGCAGTTACTGCCTCTATGCTTTAGCAGCATGATGAAAACACACGAGGAAAAGGTTTTGGATGGTGCTCTCCAATGACCTACTTTCCAAAAGAGATTTTTTCAAACTATCACAACATCCCTGCTGCAGTTCTTTAACCGCTGTGCTTTCTGGTTGAAAAGCTGTACTGTAAAGCAAAACAGTCATTACACTGTCAAGCCCCCATTTCTAACAGTATCTTGCAGAACTGGGATTAAAATAACCCAATCCTACCCTATAGCTGCAGCATTGCAAGATTTTTCAAGCATTCTGTGCTCCATAAATAAATAACATATATAAATAATAAGAGTGAAATTGATACCAGAGGAGAGAGGATGTATGATGAAGGAGCAGAGTATGACAGTGAATGAAGCTGTGAAATCTGTAGACTCCCTAGAAGCGGCGGATGCTGACAGGGAGACTTGGGAGCACAGGTAATGTTACAGCTACTAATGGAAAAAGCAACGAGTTACGTCCTGCATGTTCATTATTATAGAAAAAATACTACCTAAGCTCCAAATGAGGAACTGTCAGAAAGAGCGTGCTGCAACCCCACCGGTTGGTTATCATAGTGCATCCTAGGCTCAGGATGAGAAGCTGAAGCTGCTGCTGATGACAGCGTCAGTGGAAATTAATGGGCACGAGAGCTAAGCGTCGGCTAACTGTTGGTCTGATCCGGAGGCTCAGCGCACGTAAAAAACAAAAACAAAAAACACCACAACTCAGTGATAAATGTGATATTTGTCAGGTAATAAAACAATACTCACAGTAATTCGAGGAATGTTTTTCTTTCCTTGGTAGCCCGACATTTTGCGGATCCCTGCCACTCGGCTAACCCTAGCTAGCTAGACTGGAAAACCTAAACTACCAATGAAAGGATGAAGGGATGCTCTGCCTGTAGGCCAGTCGACGCCCTGGGCTATCTGTGCCTGTCTGACAGTTTTTGTAGAGTGAGTAATGTTTGTACAATGCAGCCTAACAAATAATTTAAGCTAACCGTTATATCGTTGCCTGACACTGCTGTCCTTGCGTTTATTGCTAAAGAAGGTCCATGAAGACCATACAAGCATCAAGAAGACAAGGGCCACAAAGAGATACCGCGCATGCGCACTACCCCACCCTGCTCAGCTACAGCTCCATGTTTCTTTGATGTGTTTTCAGTGTGAGGGGAAACAGGCATCGCCTGTTTAATTGGCTGTGTCAGATCAGCATGAGCCAGGGAGCTCAACAAGTTCCTGGGGAATAAAATAATTACATTTTGGATTATCAGTTCTATCAGCAGGTGATTATCTTTGCCATTGTATATTTATGTAAGTAAGCCGGCTGTGTCATCAGACAAAGCAAATGACACATAAGATGACCTTTTGCTCTAGGCACACTTGTTTTGAATTAATAGTTGTTTCAGACATGGAAACACTTTTAATTACTGAATGTATAGTTGGGAAGAAACACTATTTACTGTACCACTGTGAGCAACATGGAGGGATTAGGAGACAACATCCCCTCCACCAGAGACCTCCTCCTCCACCACATATATGAGTAAGACACCCAAAGTCCCACAGTGGTTGGGAGTTGTTTTTTGTGTCTCTTTGTGATCACTTTCTGGCATCTTGCAGGTGTTTTGACCGAAGCTCTGGCACAGGTCTGTGACCCCTTGGATCCCTTGCCCTGGACATGATGAGCAATGTTACACTTGAATCAGACTCCTAGGTCCTTACTATTTAGCACTAGCAGAATAAATTTTGACCTCATATTTCAAATTAACCAGGGCATTACCCTGAATAAGCATTGTTTGGTATGTCACACTGAAAAATGTGTAAAAAAAAAATACTACACATACTGTATCATCAAAAGGTAAAATGCATGTAAGTATGCAAATGAAAGCAACTAATAACTGCTGTGCTCACTGTTGCTCAGTAATCAGCCATGCAGAAGCTATAATGACATGAGCATTATGATGTAAATAATGCATCAAGGTCTATAGAGCTCTATTCACTCACTTTACATTTATATCTCAGCCACTGTGTACAGTACAAACTTTATTCAAACTCTGCAATGCTATGTATTGCACACTGATCAACTGCACATAAGCCTGTTATGATGCATGTCCAGTTTCAATTAGTATTAGTTATATATAATACTTTAAAGCCTAAATGAATGTTGCATGCTTGAAATCAGTGCTGTCAGTGCAGCCAATACTATACATTATGGTCAGCTATGTTTCATATGATTATGATTAAGACTGACAGAAGAATCATCCAGTTGTTCAATCAGCGTCAAAATACAGAAATCACATACATTTTCTTCAGTTTCTATAATTTTCTGGAAGTTCTAGACACACTGTACATTGTTTATTGTTTCATAAAATGTGAAATGATCACACAGTGAATCATCTAGATAAAGGTCAGATAACATCCTTGAACAAGGCCCCTGGATATACTGTCCTCTGGTGGTTTCTGCCACTGACACGTCAGCAAATGAACTTGATATGAATTAATATCAATGTATAAACAATTTATACAATCTCCAAAGGTGTCTTCTTACGTGGGGCAGATCACAGCTTAAGTAATTTTTCACATCTACATCTTTAAATACCTAAACATAACAGAATAATCAAATAAACAGCTTAAGGTAAATCACCGATGTGCAGTGGTGAAAGACAATAATTTGGCACTTTGCCATTGCTGCTATATTAAGTTAGAAGATATGTAGGCAAAAAGAAATAGCATATGGCCTGGTAAACTGCAATCCAGCTTAGGTTCCACTATCAGAGTCAACTTCAAACAACCCCACTGTAAAATTTTGGAGCTACATACTATATCAGTGTTTTAAGCTTTCCAACCATCAAGAAAACAAAGCTTTTGAAGGAAACCCTCAGGGGTCAACAAAATATAACATCTACTCGCAAACGTGTGGAATTTAAAAACAAATTCCACTCGTGTATCATTGTTTGTTGCCCAAAGCCAAGTTTACTGCACCCAAGCTCAGAAAGTTAAGGCAATAAAAGTCTCTTCTGCTCTAAGAGCCAATTCAGTTTCTTTGTATTGCAGATGTGGCACATATTTTTGGTTCATGCACTCTGCCTATCAAGACACCAAAGGAGAGGTGCGTCTTGGGAGAAGGCCAGATTTCACATGACAAAGCATCAAAAAGTGGAGAAATTTCAGAAAAAAAATTTCAACCTTGAAGCCATCACACATCAAATCCTTGTCACAGATTTTTGAATTCAACAGGATCAATAATATTTTCCAGATGAAAAACAGTCTTATCTACTAGCAGCTGATAACATTGTTGCCCTGTGACAAAATGTGATGAAGTGCAACCACATTACGCAACGTGTATACTGCTATAACTAACATCTACCATGTGACAGAATTCAACACAGGTTGGAAGGAATACATGAGTACAATAGATGCAGAGAAACAGCTTGACTACAGGAGGATGGTTGAGAGACTTGGAGACAGGAGAACATCCAGGCACTGCTTCATCTTCAATTCAGTATGAGCTGGCAGAGGCTGTGGCAATTCTTTTCCCAATGTACACCCTAGAAAAAATATCCAGAACATACATTAAAATCAAATCAGCTGGAAAAAAAATTAGATAATACATAGAAACATTTTAGAAATGGTGAAAAATGTTGATGCTGACACTGATGATTTGGCTGTAAAATGAAGCCCTTTATCAATATCAATTGTTTAATGAAAATTAAGGTATATATTTTCCTAAACGTCCAGGCCAGCTCAGTCAATGAAGCAGGTGATCCCAGTGAACCATCACAAGACACAAGTGACAGCAGCTATTCCCCCAGTGCCTGGTTCCTACTCTGCAGGAGACAGATGTATGTGAAAAGTAGCACTGTGGTGCAGTGGTTAGCACTGTCACCTCACAGCAAGTAGGTTCTGGGTTCAGACCTCATTTGGGGCCTTTCTGGTGTGAACTCTATATGCTCTCCCCATGCCTGCAGGAGCAACTCTAGGTTCCTCCCACAGTTTGAAGACACGCAGGTTAGTTTAGAGCTACAGTAAGTAATATTATTCAAATTTGTTTTTGTAGAAACATCCCCCAAACCTATCTTAATGGGGAGAGTTGCTGTCAGGCTCCTGTGACTCTGACTCATCAACAAGCGGCACAGAGATATTCCCTTCTAAAGGTTTTTGACCAGGGCGGCACTCTTACCCAATCACAGAAGGCCACAATCAGTGGTGTGAACTCACGACTGTCAATCAATATGTGAACGCGCTTTGGCTCTATTGACATGGTCACAGGCTAGCAAGCTACTGTTTTCAGTGTTAGCTGAGACAGCTACATGAAAAAGAAAGTCAAGAAATTAGTGTTTTGTGGATGTTTCTTCTAAAAAAATTTTGAATAATATTACTTACTGTAGTTTTAAATTTATTAAAAATAATTATAAATGAAAATAATGACTAGTAACAATAGACTGTAGAAATGTGACTTATTAGTGATAATTCCTATTTCAGATAACCATAATAATAATATCCAGAATAAACAGTTTGTATATACATAGATGGCAAAAGTAAAGTTATATATATATATATAAATACAGTTTAGCATCTAAATGTTAAAATGTCTTGCCGTACATACACACAGGCCTACTCCCTTCACCGTGATGCACAAAATACCCAAGAAAGAAAGCCATGTGGGTTTCTTTAAAAACCAGAATGTAGCATGGCACTTAAATGCACTAAATGGGTTTAGTTTTGATAAATAATCAATATCTGCTGCTGTAGACTCTATGCATAGATATACAAATATACACATCCCTCTGACAGCAACGTGTCCAGGGTGTACTCCACATCTCACCCAATGTCAGCTGGCATTGGCTCCAACAGTGACACTTACCCAAGACCAAGAGCAAGGATGTGTGAGATGAGTAAGGAAGGGATGAAGACTTTGAGAAATTCAGCAGAGAAGATGCCACCTTTCTTCATGGCTCCACTCTTTCTCATACTGAGAGATACTGAACGCCGGGGGTGCCTGAAGTGGAACTCCCTGTGAGGAACAATCAGTCCACCAATTAATCCTCAGTTATTTCAGAAAACAAATGAAGACAATATCCTCAACCACTTTTAGTGAATAATTCTCGACGTGAGAGTCTGCTTACTTTGGTGGAATGTTTTCTGGTCTGCTGGACCAATCAGCAACCCAGTCTACTTCTCTGTCCTTTTCTGCACCATCTTCATCTGACTGTGACTGCAGAGGTAAAGCAATTAAGTTTTAGTGTAAAGTGAAAAGACCTGAAAGGGGGTTAAACTTTAAATATGTTGCTTTACCTGACTGTCTCTTGGGCTGGACATCTCCACATCAAAAGTTATCTGACTCTCATCATGATCTGGACTTGGTGGCCTATGAGGACTGAATAAACATAATGGGATGAAGAAAAAAAAAACTTGCAATAACAAACACTTCCCTAAGCTGTGAGCATGATGACCTTTATTCCTACCTATCACAGGAGGAGCTACTTGGGCTGGATTCATGCTGTGCATCCAGGAGGATCTTTTCCATGTCTCCATTGTGGATAGAGGAGGATGACGGTACATGTTCTAGTCCTCCGATAAGGGTTTCATCATTCTCAGGCACCACTTCCAAGGTCTGCAGGGTTTGACTCATGCCAGCATTTGCATTTATTTGGTCTGCAGCCGGTGTCATTAGCAGGTTGGGCGGGACATCCTGGGCCTTTGTGTTACCATTCAGCTCCAGCTCTACCCAAGAGCCTTGGCAACACAAAGGTCAAGAGGAAAGAAGAAAGGCTTGTGGTGTTAAAGTGCACACAACACAGAGGCATACCGCTGTCTCCTTTCAGATGTAAACAGCTAACTTACATTTCCTTCATCGCTGATACTGCATTCAAATAAACAGGCTGTGCACCGCATCCACGATACCATATATTTCTTTGTGCCACTGCCCAACAAAAACAACCTGCACTTTGTGGTTTTTATTCGGACAGGAGAAAGTTACATAATCTCTAACTGGGCTTGGGTTGAACATAGAATGTAAACCTTATGATAAGATCAGGCGCATGTCCCCTCATTTGGGGCTCGTTTAAAGTAAAAATAATTCATGCAGTTCGATGCTGGCACATATGCGTGGCTGACTGTACATTTACAGACGAGTCTGTTATTAACGCGGTCTTGCATAACTGTATATGCAAGGTAAGACAATTCGCCCAGGCATGTCGATGATCCAGCTGAAATGATGGATATAGCGCACGTCCCGTTAACAGTGTCCGAGCTAATGTAACTTAGTCCTTAAAAAACAGTCTCTTCATGATGGAGCATACATTTGGTCAGTTAAGTGTTACAATAACATTTAGCTGTAAGTATGCAGGCACTTTAGCTAACATCCCACCATTGTCTTCCTGTAGAATTTAGATTAATTAGAAAAACTGTAACTACTCAATAAAAAGCCAACTCGGCTGGTTTGAGTGATATGACCCACAGACACATATATTTAAAATAGCACTAAACAGCAACATTTATTTCGGTTTTTTTGGCCCAAACTTGTTTTTATTTTGGCAATAACCCGTCAAGCGCCGAATAGTGTGCGTGATTGGCCGATATCCCATCAATCAAACATTTAGCTTAACGTGATTGGCTAGCATGCGGTGCCGTCCAACAACATCAGCCCCCACCCTTCCCACAAGAGGAAATACCATACGCATGTAACTTTTACAATAAAATCTTCATTACGCTAATATGCTCAAAACTCTATTTGTCTCTTTCTCTCTCTCCCACACACGCACATTAAGGATATATAAAATTGCTTTTGTAATGTGGTGCATAGTCCGGTACCTACCATGAAGCGCGGGCTCTTCGTTATTGTTTTGCTGAGCAGCAGCGTTGGACATGTTGACTACCCAGTTTTAGCATTCATCAACATGACACGCAGACAAGCTACGATGTGCGCATGCGCTAAGGCTAAGACAAAAGGTGGTGGGTATTTTTTTTTCTCTTTAAATGCCATTTTTCTTTAAAAATTAAAGTACGCACTTGTCACAAATGTATATGATTGCAAGATTTACCACACTGACAGTGAGAACAAATTAAGTCCCAGTGCATTTATGGCTGATGTACATTACCAGTCAAAAGTATGAGTACTAACACCAACAAAAAAATAAACGTTGAATGTGAAGGTGTGTTCAAAGACTTGACTGGTACTGTACGGCATTTGTGCAGGGCTTGGGTGGACTCTGTCTGGGTCTGTGGAGGTTTTGAGGACAGATGATAGCAGCACAGCTGGTTTCAGTCATCTTATCACCAACTCTTCAAATAACAGCAGGCTTACATGATTAGACCCAACTACTATTGTGGAAGGGCATACACATCCATTATGGTTTGTTGGGTTTTTCTGTATAACAGTAAGGTCTAAACCTTACTAGCTAAAGTGCCCTGAGAAAATTTTTGTTGTGATTTGGCGCTATACAAACTGAACTGAATTGAATATGGATGCTAAATGGTGGATCTACAGTATAAATCACCTCTCCTTCAGTTTCACAAAATGTCCTATTAAATTATGAATGACTTGTTTTTGGCTAATGTCAAAGGATGTGTTTCCTTACCATCACGCAGATGGTAACATGTGACTTGAAAAGCAGGCCCTGATCCTGAGAGGGCTAAAGTGCTGAGATCAGATGCAGACTGCCCTGAATAGCTAGTAGAAGCTATGGTCACAGTAAGAAGTGATTTGCAGACAATCTTTTTTTTTTTTAGTCAGGGTAGCATTTCACATTATCTTCCATAAACAAACCTTAAAGCAGGGTAGCAATTTAGTTCCAAATTCAGATATTAATCTCTTTATTACTTTTCATCTAAACTGTATTTTATTCCATTTGACAGAAACAGCTGTACATGAACCATTTAAACAGATCAACTGTCCTACAACCTTTATTCATGAGCCCCTTGAAAGAAAAACATACAAATTAATGAAATTCACAAAAATAAAAGTGCATTTTGTTGCAACTCCTCTGATACATTAAATGTGTTTATAATGCTGCTGCAAGTGGAAAAATCTTATAACTCCAATTCAGACAGCTTCCTGAATGAAGGGTATGTTCATGTTCAAAAGCAATTACAGAAACTTAGATTTCACAGAGAGAAAAAAAAGGGTGGGGGGAGGAGAAGGACAAGTTGCCTAAATAAGGCTGATTTTCCTTAAAAGCTGCTTTCTTGAAGGTACAAGGTTTTAATCACAGAGCAGCGGTAAGTTCCCCTGAGCAATCTCCTGTCTGGCATGCTAGAAAGTTCAAGAAACATATTTGATTATCTTATTTCTACTTTATGCTATAGGAAAGGCAATAAGGTTCTTATGAATGTCTGTGGTTTACACCATAGCTTTGAACAGTAGGTATGAGGACATTCTGAAGGGAAAATGAAAACAATTATTGGTTAGTTATTTGTTTTTTTAAACCAGTGTCAGTGACTGTATAATAATAATGCCCTGACATAGTCTGTGGCATCTTTTTTTAAAGTCAATATTACCTCATACTATTATGATATTGATTTTTGCACTTCAACATTTTTAAACAGCCTGGTGGAACAGTAGTCATTAAACAGTGACTAAGTAAACACTTCCTTTGGGTGAATGACAGGACAAGGCTGATCAATGATCTCATTTTGAAGGGACAACTCTCCTTGTTGATTGGTGGCTAACCGATTGCATCATTCTCGACTGTGGAACAAAAAGGTGCCACATTATACAGTTTAATACATAAATGATAAAGTAAATTACTTGAATGACCCTCACGCAATCTTGCATCAGACAATAAAGACAAGTTGATTTTCAAAAAGGTTGTGAAATGAATACAAACACAAAAAAGATATTAGCAAAGTGTCTTATTAGAGGACATTACCCAGAGCCCTGAGAGAGTGACATTGAACAGTAGCTTAACACCACATATAGACATAGGTGGTTATTTTGGTGACATCCTAGCAATTGGAACTCAGTTCTCTAAAGGCAGGAGTGAAACAAACAACCCACATAATCCAGTGCACCAACAAGATTCATGCCCCGATTTAATAGTTTAACCTGTCCACAAGCAATAATTTCAACAAAGTGAAAAACTGCGCTATAATCAATCAACTGGTTTACACCAGAACAGAACTGGTAACATGTGAATGAATCACAGCGTCGCAGACCGCTCCCATGTTCACTCCAAGTCAGTCATGACCACTCCATACACAATCATCTGTAAACCAAGTGCTAAACAAATTCTCCTTTTAAAATAAACAAGTCCATCTCTGCATCAACGAGAGAAGCCTGTCATACAATAATTCCAAATCAGGAACTCTGCCTAGTCAACTGACTTGACTAGATTTAGAGAGAACTTGAGTTAACCTTACATGCTGATTAAAATGCCTTTCCTAGTTAGACCCCTAAGGGTCTATTCTTTCACAGGGAGCAAAAGGATTCATAAACAAAACCATGGCACATAAAAGAATGTTAAGATCTAAATTAACTCAGAATCTGACTCTGGAATGTCCAAACGAGTTAAACATAAACATCAGTTACAGTCAACCACATTTAAAACTTTTAGTGCTTATGACTACAGAGGTATTGACACCTAAAAATACTTCTCTTTGGACATCCCACATCAGAAATAACAGTTCTTTGATAACACAAAAAGTCTCTACCTTTCAAACAAACACTTTCCAGAATAAACAAAATGTCCCAAAGTCATACGACAGATTACCTGACGAGGCAACCTTCCATCTACAATCAGTCTGAGATAGACAGGTGAAGAAACTACAGTGATCAGACTGTAATCCTATTGCCTTTTTTTTTTTTTACAAAAATAAATCAGCTATAGTGATTATTCTTTTATCAGATACAGTACAAAACATAAAAAAAACTAGATCCAGAAGGGGTAAAGCAATCAATCAACCTGCAACACCACAACGGGCTTTGTGGAGAAGCTGGCAGCAGCACTCAACTTTGGAGCCACAGATCACAAGCGAATTAGGCCACATTATGCCGTTACACCTTTCCACACTTTTGTCCTGAGCTTTATATGATGGTCCACATGTGTGCAAGAGTGACTGGTCTGACTGGGGGCACCCTGTCTGCAAAACAGCTTTAAATAAATACAGCGTTGGAGTGTACAGGACTAGTTACTTTGGCATGATTCACCCCATTCAACCCCCCAAACCACATACCACCATTCTTATGTCCATGCTTGAAGGACTACATGAAAATAGTTTTTATGGTTTAGCTCAGTAACTAGAAACTACCTATACTTTACTGTGGACAATTTTCCTAAATGTAGCAATTTTAATATTCTATATAAAATCAACCCACAGGCTTGAAAATTAATTTGAGATAAACAATCCATCTCAGTGAGCATATGGTCAGATTTTGGTAATGCAGCTGAAAAACTTTGTGTCAGGTATTACAGTACCCCTGGTCAAACTGACTTTTCTTGCTTACACTACAGAACAATGATAGACTTATTTAAAGACAACAAATAGTTCACTGCGATGGAATAACAGTCATGCATGTTGACTTTCTTGTATAGAGAAATTGAATCAGCACATCAGTGTCTGCCTTGAAGTTAGAACTTTGATTTGGTAAATACTGGTATGGTGTGAACAAAGGTTAGCGGTAATATAAGTTAAACTAAAAAAAAACAACAACAACAACAACAACAACAACAACAAAAAAAGCTAAAATATAATAAAACACTAGAATAGTCCTTTAACAGCATCACCATAGTGTACATTAGGAGAGAAATATTGTGTGAATTTGGCAACTTCGCAAATCTAGAGTGTTGACAGCTTGTATTAGCAGTATTTCAGGCCAGAACGAAAAGGAACTTGGTGACATACAGACAGGAGAAGGAAATTGCTATTCAAATGAATAAAAATGGCAGCTACAAAAACCTAACTTGTAGGTGTGACATACTGTACATGTGAACCATGTCACGATGGCACAAAAGAATAACAAAACAAACTAGCTAAACGTGTGTATTTAACGCATTTTCCCTTTGGATGTAGTGGACTTGCAAATGGTAGCCTGGCAAAAGGAGTGCTCCTAGTGAAGTAACCCAAGACAGCAAATCCCAAAGTACTGACTCAGATCTACAAACCTGGCATGCTTACATTTCTAATACACATGGATATTGTGCTTGTAATGGCCGGCTTGGATGTACTGTGTTAAAGCCACTGTTTGTTGCTGTACATCATGTTACATTCAATATTAAAATCACAGGGGACAGATCATATGAAGACTTGGGGATTTAGCCAGAGACAGATACTAATTATATGTGTTTATCAGAGCAGTGGGGCTCAAGAGGAAACAAGGACCTGAGTGGTTCAACGAATGCTAGTTCAGTTTCTCCTGGAATATGTACAGATTGTTGGTTGTGGCCACAGCAATGATGTTGTCCAGAGGATGCCAAGCAGTGTGGAGGATCTTCTTGTTAAAGTCCAGACTGTCTACACTGATCTCATCCTTTTTGCGCTTTCCACCTGTGCTTACTTTGCGAGGTTTCAGGACCGATCGTACCTTGCTATTCTCCCGTGACGCCTCTAGGGTCACATCCTGCCGATAGCCTCTGTCAAACATCCTGAAGAAGTTGTTGTAGGAACCAGTCATCACAACACTGCACAGAGACAAAGTGAGTGAGTGATGGTAATGAAGGACACTGAATCAAAAAAAAGCATATGATTCTCTGTGGAGGTCCACTACTAAGAGCATGTACAGAATATCCTTTAGCCACCCAAACCCAAATTATGAGCAGCCTTGCGCTCTGCACTAAGCAGATAACCACAGTAAATGATAAGACCGGTGACGCTGGGTTTGTTTGCTGGGTCAGCCCAAAACATTTTCCTGTCATGCATTTTGAATGTGTGATGAATTCCCAAGGCATAAAAAGTCAAAGGTGACTTTCTCAAAAACAGGACTGCACTGAAATTGTTAGTTCCCCAGAAGAAAATGTTTTACACTGAACAGACATACCTGTCATTCCCATTCCAGCAGCACTCAAACTTGTCGAAGATGCAATCATTTTCATAGAGGGAACACAATTTGCTCCTGAGATATTCATGTACCTATTGAAAGCAAGTGATGAAGAGGAGCTGTAGTTATAATCAACAGTTGTCCTACAGTGAAAATAACATTGCGACAGACCTGGATATTTTCATTATGACCTTTGCAAAATACCTCCCTCTTGTGGAGAACCACCAGAATGATGCTGGGCTTCACAGTGCACAGAAAAAACCTCTCTCTCTCTCTCTCTCACACACACACATCTTGGCATGAAACCAGTTACAGACCTGATATGTCTCTACTGGCCGGGTCTCCATGTTGAGATCCCAGATTTTGACAGACAGGTAGTCGCGGGTCATCATGTAGCGTCCACTGTGGCTGAATTTGACATCAGAGATGGATGAGATGATTTCAGAGAAGAACGAACGACTGTTTGGATCCTCTGGCTCTTCAAATACTTAAAAAAAGAAAAAGGATGCATGCCATTAGAATACCCTGACTACCATTCATGGCAACAGGCTACATTTGGTAATACAGCTACACACAATTCAAGGCGGCAAATTCAATTCTAGTAGTCACTTCAATAACACTCTCTCATATTCTGTTTGTGGCTTCAGTCCAACAATTTTGGCAAACACATTTCTACAAACCCGCTTTCTCTAAAATTTAAAGAATGAATAAATAAATCAAATAAGTAGCAGTTTTGGAGCTCTAACCCTTAAATGAAGGGGACTCACACCACCATAGAAATTAACTGAATTTTTCTTCACTTTTTTAAATGTATGGTTCCTACCATCAACTAATTTTCACAAATTAAATCCATACTTGTTTTTTTTAAAAGCAAAGTTATACTTTCTGGGCAATTGTCTCACCCAATCAAAGTATCTGGGATTTGAATGCCATTCTAGATAACAGTATGTCAGCTGATAAAGATACCCTTTACAGAAACACTGGCCTCACAGCTGGAGCTGGGCAACCTGGGTTTTTAGGCTGTAAATTAAAGCACTGTTTTCTGGTATTCTAGTTCAAATGCAGATCACCCAGTGTCTTCAGTTGTGCCACAAAAAGATCTCAAAGTTCAACAGCTTCCCTGCAGGCACACAGCGTAAATAAAAGTGGCTTACTTTTGGCATGCTTGTCACACAGTGCTGATGCCCTCATGTCACACATGCGGATGGTGCCCTTGCTGCTGCTGTAGACAAAAGTGTTGCATTGGCTGGGGTGGAAATCTGCTGCTGTGATCACTTCTGTCAACTCCTCCATATTGGCTGGCTTAATGTCAACAATATCTGAAGAGGTGAGGTTAAGGTCATGGAGCAAATCAGACTACTTACAAAAGTCCATCAGAAATAAAATGAAAGAAAAGGTTATTATTTATATAGTACAAAGACGGCCTGCTATCGCTATTTTGGGGAGGCGACAGTGGTGCGGTGGGTAGAGCAGTCGTCTACCAACCAGAAGGTTGAAGGTTCGAATCTCGGTGCCTGCAGTCCACATGCCAAAGTGTCCTTGGTCAAGACACTGAACCCCCCCGTTGCCCGCAATGGTTAGAGCCATCGGTTGAGGTGGCGCCGCAGATGGCTGCCTCAATTCTGTACCGGAAACAAATTCCTTGTGTGTAACATACTTGGCCAATAAAGGTGATTATCCTTCCCCAGTGGCCCAAAAGGTTTTGCATGGCTCTGGGTTAGCAAATAGATTATTAGAGGTCAATGGTATGATCTAACGAAATAATGACTGGGACAGAAAATTCTTCCCTCTCTGCGATCAAGCTTTCAGAAGGACATCTGCTATAGTAGGTGGTCTGAACTAATCAGGTGCCATCAGCAACACTGGCTGATGAGAATACACTTACAATGACAAAATAGCACTGAATTATGGGCCAGCCAAATGCTATCTTAGAAAGGGACAACATGGAACAGCTTTCTCAACAGAAAGTCATGTGGGCATTTCAGTTCAGAACTAAAACTACTTTACTCTGTACACTTTAAATCTAGCCCACAGTATGTTAGAGCCACTGCGTAGAACTTAAAAATACCTTACTCTGGGGGTATCTGGTGGTGGTATCAAATGTGACACTGTGGTAGAGGCTATCACATTGCATTTTTCAATCACTAATGTTCAGTTTGCCTTTTTTGTTGTTGTTTTTAATACACCCACACACAGGTACAGAATAGTCATTTGTGTGATCTACAATAAGAGAGATTAATGTATTGGCTTACCCTAAATCACTAAAATGTCCTAAAATAAAGCTGGCTTCAGTTTTTTGCAGAGACAGTGATGCAGTCTGAAAGAGTCCAGCTTGAACTGATGTGGTGAGAAGGTGAACACATGCAGGGATCATAATCTTGTGAATCAGAACTACCTCGTACTACTAGTACTAACCAGGACCATTATTTCACATACATGTACAGAAACAAGTAAACCCTTGCAAACACGTGTTCATTTAAAAAGGACCCCAAGTTTGACAGTTTTCTCTCAAACAAACTGGACAAATAGCAAGAGAAGTTGTGTAAAAACTAAAACAGCCAATCATAAACACATGGGAGCTATTTGTAAAGCCCTGAAAGGCTGCATTTCCCAGTGCAGTTAGTACAGCAATGCCACAGCTTTCTTCAAAAGGTGAGAATATTAAAGTCTATGGGAATAAATACGATGAATAATAAGACCTATAGAAGATGATGACCAAACAGCACTAAAGAACAAAGGATACTAAAGCTGCGATCAGTGATCTCCAGATTCCACAGGTTAATGCGCAGGTCATCTGCAGACAGGTAGGTCTCACAATCACTGTTGACTGAGATGGAATTGATATGGTAGGTATGAGCATTTGAAAACACTCGTCTGGGGCTGGCTTCCACCATCAAGTCCATGGGCATGAACACCGGTACCTGTGGAGAGCAGTGGGGGTTCGTATCACCTTATTCTCAGGGAAAACGCAGCAACTTTTGTGGTCACCATATTGTCCTCTACACATTTTTGATTTCATTCTTAAACTGCTCTTGTCACTCTGGTGAAAAGGCAACAGATGTATGAATTC